AGGGTAATAGTAAAATTAGTACCATCCAGATGATACCTAGGCAACTCTAATATTTCACGTCAGCATCAAGAGTATAAAACAAAAATGGGAAAGAATATGGCTTATTCTGATATTCTCAAATTTTGATCTGTGTGATCATTTCTTTTTAATCGGTATTTTTAATAAAAATACTTTTTTTTTCTTGATAAAAAGCATTTTGAACCTATCTAGGCACTAAGTGAAGGGTATACATACCCGTTTTTTTAATGTATCGTACGGCGACTAAAGCTACTGTATAACTTAAGGTATGTGCATTAATATGAATGATATTTAAGAGTAAAATAAATAAGATAAAAAATTACAAATGTACTTACTATATAAAAACTACAACTAAATATAATTTTTTTTTTTAAAAAAAAAAAAAAAATACAAATACAGTATAATGACAGTATAACTAATGAAATCTTTTTCGCAACTATTGTAGGCTTTAAAACTATTCACAATATTTTTTTTTTTTTAGTTGCGTCAAATTAAAATATTTTTCTCAACCGATTGTCTTTTGAGTAAATTACAAGTGCCCATACTCGGATTCCAATTTTCTTTTTTTAGGTAGTCAATTCAATCATAAAAACAGGCTATTAAACACAAGTGCTTTTGTTGGTTTCAATGATCATATTAAAATTTGCGCACATTGTAATTCTATATTCCCACCTACCCTGCTGGAATTCTTTTTTTTTTTATTATTCACTAATTGTTCTCAGCGCTGGGGGTTTAACAAAACCATTATTATCAAGGCTATTATCATCATTATTATTATTATCATTATTATTATTATTATTATTTTTAATTAGTAACTCTCTGATCACATCACTTAATTTAGAGAAGCTAACAGGTTTACTGACGTAGCTTGTAAATCCAACTTCAAAACATTTTTCCGCCACGTCTGACATCACATTCGCAGTAAGTGCAATTATTGGGATCGGTGGTTCATCCGTTAAATGTTCAGCCTCCCACGATCGAATTTCAGCTGTCGTCTCGTATCCATCTATAAATTTGCAAGAGCATAAACGCTATTATAAATTTACTTGATATATTTGATATATCAGATAATAAAATTAAAAAAAAACCTTTAACGGGCATGAATAAGTCACACTATAATTAAAATATTGGAATTAGTCAAAGATATTTGATGTATAGCAATTTTTGTATTTTAACTTACCAATATTAATGAAAAATAATTGTGATCATGTGAATAAAACTTTTCCAAACATTGAGCACCATTATCAACAACAGTAACTTCCAAACCCACTTTAGTGAGATATTTTGTCATCACTATTTGACATGAAAATTAGAATTCTTGATATTTTCTTTTTCTAACATTTAACCAACAGAAAATAAACAAAATTGAAAGTCACCTTTCTGATTAACAAAATTGTCTTCAACTAACAAGACTTTAAATCCTTTGTCACCAACAGCATCTGCCATACGTTTAAACACTTCTCTTTGAGATGCAACTATTTGATGCGTGTTTCTGCGTCTTAAGAAATTATCCCGTACTGTGGTGGTATGATCAAATAAACCTTCCATTTTGGTTCTGTTAAGAGGTTTTAAAATAAAATCAACACGTTCTGGTAAATCGTTTCGTGCACCCTCCATAATTCCAGCACGTTGAATTGGAGTGGTTAATATTACAGTAATGGTGAGCGAGAGGTGTGTCAAATTTTTGATTTTAGTAGAAAGTAAAATAATATGATCTTGAGAAACTAAATTTATAATAATGTGTGTATAAGACTTTATTTCTGAACTTGTAAGTCGATCATTAGCTTCGTCATAGTTGCAAGTAATATCAATATCAGGTGTTGGTGATTTAGGAAGAATGGAGCGAACATAGTGCACCAAAGTTTCACGTGATCGGGGTAGATCGGCCACTATAAGAACACAAACGGGATGGAGCAAATTAACTTTTCGAATCTTTGATGACGGAGTGGAAGGCCTTGAAATGGTCGGTGTTGAGGTCTTCGACGATGGTAAAATTAACTCAGGCAATGATCCATTATTATTATTATTGGATTCTATACAACCGAATGGATTTGGGAGTGAAGGTTCTAAAGTTTGACAGACGGTTGACACGGGAGAATTTTGGCAGACGGTTGACTCAGGAGAATTTTGGCAGACAGTTGACACAGGAGAAGATGTTAGATTTAATGGCTGTAAATTTGAAGATGAATAACTAATATCATTCTGCACAGCAAACTTGCTAATCCGAAGAAACGGATTGAACTCCTCGGAAGTTGGTGTCGATGGACGAGGATCTGTGGAATCAGGCGGTATTTGGAATTTGGCTGTGAAATAAAACGTTGATCCAACACCTTTTTGACTTTTACAGTACATTCTGCCTCCATGCAGCTCTATTAATTGCCTAGATATGACCAACCCAAGTCCACTACCTCCACGTTTCCGTGTTGACTTTTAAAAAAAAACAAAAACTATTAGATAAAAGAACTTGATATAAATTTATAAACTGAAAAATTAATTGCACTGTAAAACTCACAGACGTATCCACTTGAGAAAATGGTTTAAACATAGCAGCCTCCTCTCCAGAATCAAACCCGTCACCAGTATCAACAACCTCAAACAACAACATAACTTCACTCTCGTTAATTCCTGATTCTTCTGGATGTATAGAACAACGAGAAAAAACTTCTCCTTTCGAGGTGAACTTGATTGCATTCTATGTAAATTATGCCAAAAATAATGATTAAAAAAGAATATCTAGATATAATGTTTATATACTTATGGCTTGCTAATAACGTACCCCTATAACATTTAATAAGACCTGACGTAACCTTACTCTGTCTCCACATACAACGTTGGGAACATTATCATCTACTATAAAACTTAGTTCAAGACCCTTTTGTATTGCCAATGTTGAAAGTAATTCATTGGTATCTTCGATCATATTATGAAGTGAAAAAGGCTCCATCTCCAGTTTCATCATTCCAGCTTCAACTTTACTCAGATCCAATATATCATTTATGACTAAAAGCAATGCATCTGCAGATTGTTGAATTGTGTGCGCGTAATCAAGTTGTTCAGTTGTTAGATTAGTAGCCAGCATGAAATTAATCATGCCAGTAATGCCAATCAATGGTGTACGAATTTCTAATAATGAGGGATAAGCATTTTATTTTCTTGCTTAAAATAAAATAAAATCATCATACAAACATTAATGGCAATTACCGTGCGACATATTGGACAAAAATCGTGTTTTACTTTCCATTGATCTTTTAGCTGCATCATGAGCCTCCTTAAGTTTTTGCTCTAATACTTTATGATCATTGATGTCAGTGCTATAAAACCAATCAAGTATCATTATTAATTATATTTAGATACCAATTAAAAAAAAGTTTATTATGCTTAAGTATTAAAAAGGGGATGACCTACCAAGTACCAAGCCATTTACGGCCTTCTTCTGAAGCCTCAACACTAATACATTTGACCAGATACCATTTATATTCACCGTCATTCTGCAGCAAACGAACCTCAATCGAATAACCCATTTCCATATCAGGTGCTGTATCTTCCGGTAAACGACAAATCGCACGATCATCCGGATGAACGTGTGACAAAAATCCTAAATTTTTTGCTTGTTCCTCGGTTTGACCGGAATAAGCCAACCATTTATCATTTACATATGTTATACCATCCTTAGGTGTAGCAGTAAATACTATTTGAGGTATTGCATCTGCAAGAAGTCGATATTTTTTTTCACTAGCTTCTATATGAAGTTGTCGACTTTGGCGTTGTTCAGCCAATTTTTGATCATGAACGTCAATGCAAGTTCCAAACCAACGAATATTAACACCTCTTGCGTCACGTAAGGGACCAGCACGACCAAGAAACCAACGATATTGTCCATCAAATCGTTTCATGCGGTAGTTAGCACTTGACCCTTCTCCACGTAAAAATGTAGTGTTCCACATTTCCAAAACGTTGGCTCGATCATCAGGATGTATAACTTCTATCCACCCACGCCCGAGTAAATCTTCTAAATTGAGTCCAGTATATTTTAACAAGCGCATGTTTACCCAAGTACAATCACCGGTTTCAGGGGAACAAGTGCTAAATTAAATTATTAAATAACGATAATAATAAAAATAAACATACATAGATCAAAATCATAGATAGTATACATACTAAACAGCATTTGGCATAAGATCCACCATCAAACGAAGCATTTTAGTATTTAGAATGTCACCTAGATAATTGAAAAGATGTAATAATTTTTTTAAATAATATTATTGATGACAATTATAACAATTATGATGATTATGATAATTACCTGACTGATTCGATCCTCTTGAAGAACGTTTTGATCGACGTCTCTTACGGTGCCAAAAAGTAGTGTCCGCTGGCATCGAAATTCTACGATTTTTCGCCGAACGACGTGATGTTATGAAAGTGTGTGGATGAGGTATAGTATCAGAGACCGGTGTATGTTCATAACTATCAGATCTCGTGAAATCCTGTATATTACTAAATGAATTCATCTCGTTATCCGAGTCTAGACTTGGACTACAACCATAAGCAGTCCATTTTGAAGAATTTGTTGATGCTGTCGAACATTCACCAGATGATAAACTAAATTCATCATCATCAACCAAAGAATCCGTAGAAAATGGAGTAGCAGTCATATTAGAATGTTGACTACTACGACGTCTTTCTAATCTAGTTGGAGTTGTACAAGATAATTGGACAACAGACTGCTGATGTATCATTGAGACTGATAAGGTTGTTGCCAAGAACGGAGCCAGACCTTTTAGAGAGTTAATTAAATCCGATGGATAAGGAACAAGGCATGAAAGAAACGATAAAATTGCTATAGGTACAGGTGCGCGATTTGTATTTGTAGGAACCACATTTTTAACAGTAGTAGGATGAATTAATGGAATATGTACAATAGAGTAAACATTGTTATCTGTAATAGCCGGATAGTTAAAGTTATGTGAGGAATGAAGTTCAGGAGACGAAGTACTTGAAGAGGAGGGATTAAATGCTTCATCATCAATTTCAGGTATAGCTTGAAAGAAAGGATTACAATTTAGATCCGTTACAGCTGGAGATGGAGCAGGAGATTGAGACCAAGGAGAAGGTTGTTGTTGTTCGAATTCCTCATAGTCAGATAATCGATGATGATAACTTGAAGATTTTTCAATATCAAATAAATCATCTTGAAAATAATTGCCCTGACCCTCTTCCAAATTATTTAAACAAGGTGTATCCAGTACCCTAGCCCGTGATGAACCTTGTTCATCAGTACAATGATTGTCTTTAACATTGTCCCAACCAAGATTTTTTTGAACACCTTTATTTTCAGTTGATCTTAAATTCTTACGAAATCTTGACCAATGATTCTTCATCTCACTATTAAAATTAGAGTAATTGTCTTTATTTTTTGAGGTATTTTCATCACTTGGTAATCTATACTCTCTAGACAACACGACAATTTTTCCACAATGTAAAATTTTAAGAATGCCAGAATTATCTACCAAGGGTTCAGAATCACAATCGAAACCTCTTAAATTTTCAAATACCGAATGTCCAGTATCACTCGACGAAGATGAACAACTATCAGTGGCACTTTCCGAATAACAAGTATTACTATTACAATAAAAGTTTTTATTATACATAGCTTTTACGCCCCAAGGAGTATTTACAGTATCAGTTAAATCATGAGGTACCGATAGTAGAATCCTCGTAGCATAATAAGAAGAAGTAAAAATGTCGATTACGTTATCCCACCATTTATGTATATTTAACTCAGTTGTTAACTGCAGGGACAGTTTATATAAATTTGGAAGCTGATATAATTGAGGCTGAAGACGGTGGTTTGATTGAGAAGAACGTCCGTCAGAATCACGATTCTCTTGGAATTGCAAATAATTGTGATCCTCGTATATTGGCATCGATATATCTTTCAGTTGATCATAAAATTGTTTCTGTTGTTGACGTTGCAACTGAAGTTGATATAAATGTTCAGATTTATCTGGAATAAATTTATCATTATTTGAATAATTATGATTGTTCTTTCGGGATATTGAAGTTGGATGATTATGATGAACGGAAGGAGTATGCGGAGTATGCGAAGGCATCTGGAGAGTAAAGTCCGTTGTTGATTTCATTATCAATTTTTTAAATTTTTTTTTTTTTTTTGCCCTTTTTTTTTTTTTTTTTTTTTTTTTGGGATTTTTTTTTTTGTTGTGTTTTTCTGTAATCACCTTGAAAAATGTTTTTACAATGCAATTTCCCGTTTTGAACCGTGCCAAGAACAATCTTGCGTCTGTCGTTAAATGGGGGAAATATCAGTCTTAGAAACGATGAACTTGATTTAAAAAAATGATGATGATATTGATGATGATAAACCCGTAATTACGTAGAAATGGAAATACCGTTTCAACACGATGCGAATGTGATGAAAGGAAAAGTAATCATTATAATATAACGAAGCATCATCAATAAAGGTCTAGCACCGATTATCTTTTATTATTATAATATAATTACCAGGTCTTTTTTTGTTAAAAAAAGAAAAAAACAAAGAGGAGATAGAGAAAAAAAAAAAAAAAAAAAAAAAAAAAAAAAAAAAATGTAAAAAAAAAAAAAATTCAGTTTTTTTTTTTTTTTTTTTTTTTTTTTGTTGGCCTCCTTTTTTTGCAACAACCTTTTTATTTCTAAATATACCTTCTCCGTCTGTGTTTACAATTAT